CGAAAAATCCGTATATATGACTTTTTATATGTGTGGTCAACTATGTTTGTGTTTATTGAAATTTGTAACACCCCAATATTACGTAGTATTTTATTAGCATACCACAAACTCATTAATTGCGGCAAATTGCGGCTCCCATCTCTAATCATGAACAACCTTTTATCCTTTGGATAAAAATAATGATTCAAAATCCATTCGTTTTTGGAAATCAAATATTTCAATGTTTGCAATTTATTGTCGCCAAAACTATTTTGAAGAGGTAAAAGTCAAAACTAAAATTAAAAAGTTATATATGTCAAAATTAGATCAAAAGCAAAAAGTCAAAACTAGTTTCAACTTATGGCAAAATCTTTTGATTTTTGCACAGTTGCGAAACACTCTAGTTTTGGTAACCAACTCTATTGTAATTCGTACTCTTTCTTTACCTGCAGATTCAGCTGATGTAGAACGTTTATGGTCTATTATGACATCAATGCATACATAAAAAATTACTCATGCTTCAAAAATTGCAAAAATCAAATGGCATTTAATTACTACAAAATTATAATGCCATTTAACTCATAGTATAAATCCAGAATTTTGAAGTGGAAGAAAATAGGATGGCGAAGATAGCAATTATTTAGATTAAAACATTACAGAGGAAATATTAAATTATTTACTATATAAAAAAGTAAGATAATGAGGAAATTCAAAATAATGGTGTATTGTCTAGAGTTGGATTTGATCAAATTTTTAATTTCAATGTGATTGATGAAACCAGCATTAGGATTTAATTGTAATGTTTACAAAATGCTAACAAAGACTAACAGATGATTGCTTTTGAGTAATATGTTTTTTAATTATAATTTAACGATTATTTAGATCAATAAATAACGATATCCCGATATTCTTTTTAGAGAAGAGGTTTGATTAGTCTAAAGATTTCATTGGCTGAAATCAATTATCAGTTGGTTAAGCAGAAGATTCATAGTCGGCTGATATCACTAGAAAAATATACCCAATTTACAAAAAAAAAGAAAAATACATTTATTAGCCTGCTTAGCCGTTAAATTTCTTGACCGGCTGACATCAACAACAAAATCCTTTAAAGAAAATACTGCTCTTGTAATTGTTTAATATCATATAGAACATACGCGTGAAATTCAAAATTAGCCAATCACACATAATTTTGATTATAAATTTTAATTTTATTTCTTATATATATTATTTTCCTTAAATAAATTAAAAAATTTCACAGTTTATTAATGAAATAGCATCAAAAAATGATGCAAGAAAAACTTTTGGTGTTCATGTGAACACTAATTTAAAAAAAGAGAAAAAAAAAAAATGAAAAAAAACGAAAGGAATTTATTTGCTTCGATGGATGATAAAAGAAACATTTCTCCTTAAAAAGTTAAAAACAGAATTCACTTATAAAAGTAAGTTAACTTCTCATAACTGATTTTATATATTATTTAAAGAATGTCGAGTTTGATTTTGGAGTTAGTTATTGTCGTTGATTTTGAGATTGTGATTGAGGATTGGAGTTGTCGTTATAGTTGATGTAACTGCTGTTGGCATTTTCTTGAGTTTTATCTTCCAGAACTTCTTGAACTTCTTGAAATTCAGAAAGTTTTTGCATAATGTTATCATAAGAAATAATAACATTATTCATGCGAGAATGATCAAAATCACGACCCAATAAATTTGTTTGTGATTCTGGAGTTGCGTTTCCAACAATAGCATTAGGTCGAGTTAACTCATTAATATTATCGAAGATGGTGTTATTTTGTGCACATGAAGGGTTTCCATAATTAATAATCGGAGTGGGGCACGGAGAAAAAAAAGTGGATGAAGAAGACGATGAATTCGTACTACCGTTCGTGTAAAAAGAAGACGGATCAAGCGAGTTTTTAATATCAGAATAAGTTGTGGATAAATTGAAACAAGCGGAAGGTGATATATTTGTATTATTGTTCGTGTAAGAAGAAGACAGATAAGGTGAATTGTTATTATTAATATTAGAATGAGGTGGCGATAAAGAAGTGGAAGACGATCTATTTGTATTATCGTTCGTGTAAGAAGAAGGTGAGTTGTTATAATTAATATTAGAATGAGGTGGTGTGAAACGTGGAAGTAAAGAAGTAAGTGAATTGGAGAAAGACGATGGATTCGTAATATCGCTTGTGTAAGAAGAAGACAGTTCAAGTGCGTTTTTATCTGAATGTAGTGTGGACAAATTTGAATAAGTAAAAGACGATGGATTTGTATCATCGTCTGTGTAAGTTAGATGAATTGAATTCTTATAATTAATATTATATAAATTTGAATAAGTGAACGGTGATAAATTTGTATCACCGTTTGTATATGAAGACACATGTGGCGATGGTGATTGAGTCACGTGACCGATATTATTTTGTTTTTGTTGTAATCCTGGTTCTTTAGCTTCACAACTTAGTGGTTGATCTCCTGAGCTTGTATATTTGTAACCAGGATAAAGTAACTTGTGCATTTCAAGTGCCAGACTCTCTAATATTTCAAAGTACATCCTTACTTCGTGTGATTCAATATTCCAAGCCTTCCCAGCACCTTTCGAAACATCTGGTACATTATTTCCATCCCCAAGAAATTTGTTATAATTTTTTCGATACAAAAAAAACCGATTCTGAGGTCTTGGGGGGTTTGTTGGATTGTATCTTGGCGCAATCAATTCTTCTATTGATAAATAGAGTTCACAAGGTGGTTTTAAAAGAAGTCTAACTTTATCATTATCGAGTCGTGCTTTAATAATACATAATAACAATAATGATATTGCAAAAATTTCATTATCAATATTTATTAGATGATTAGTCATTATAAAAAATTTTTTTATCAATAACTCGGTTTTTAAATTTTAGAGATTTTTTTTTAATTTATATAAAAAATTTATCAAAAGTCATTTTTAATTCAAAATGTAAAAATAACAGGCTGATAGATCTTATTATTCTAAAAATAGTATTAGGAATGACATTTCACCTAATATAATAAGACATTGTTCATTGAAAATATTTGTTCATTGAAAACATTGTCATTAAAAAACATTTGTTCATTGAAAACATTTTTTCATGTTTCCTGGTGCGAGAAATTTGGTATGTTACATCACACAACATATGAATGAATAATATGTCATCAATATAAAAAACAAACAAACAAATGCGTCAATTCAATATTAAAGATCTTGATAAATAATTATAAATAAAGATCATATGATAAACAAAGAACGAGGCGCATAATATATTTTCAATGGTTTGGGAACATGTACGACATATGAATGGTATTACTAAATAAACGTTTGAAATAGATTAATGTTAAACTTCCAAAACAATTATTATCTGTTACATCTGTTAGGACCCCTAAATAAAATATGCCGTGTTCCACATTTAACAACACTGTCGTAGATTGATCAGTACATTGAAAGTTGAATAGAACCATTGAAATTTCATATTTCGGGTAAATCCTTATTTTAATTATTGATAATAATAAAGCTGACAAGTTACAATATAACATTTTTAAATTTGTTCAAAAAAAATGTGGCTTCATTTGTATATCTTTATTGAGAAAAAAATAAAAATAAATGGCCAGTTATAGAAACTGATGTTACACGTCATGTATTTCAATGGGTTGAAAGATGAAATCCGCCATTGCACTCAATTTTTATATGCCACTTTTAGTTTCAATTAGTCTTAATTAATTGAGGACCATCTTTAATAATAATAACATAAATCAATATAACTTGGTAAGTTTGATTATCTTTTACAAAAATCATTGGTTATTGTTAGAGTCACGTACGTAATATGTTAAATGGAATTGTATTACACAATACACGCCAATAAAATATCTGTTGCAATTGATTACAATTTATTTGCAATTATTTAAATTTAAAAACACACAAATGTTGTTCACGTGTAGTATGTGACCAGCCATTCTTATTATCTTATAATATTTTTATTTCTACCAATGAATGTTGTTCACGCGTAGTATGTGACAGGATATTCTTATATTTTTATATATCCATCTATATTTTACCACTTACGCTGCTATTTATTTAATAAATAATTTTATTCATGTCTTGATGAATAGCCCTTTCCTATAATTTATCTGTTCTAAAGTCACCACTAACAAAATCCAAAATAATCACACTGATCTTGATCCCATAATCACAATAATGTAAACCAAATTTAAAATACTGACCATAAATTATATAATTTTTTTAAATAATCATAATAATATCTCAAGCAACAACAATAAATCTCTTCAATATCAATATCGAATAAGTTTTTTTAAAAATTGTTTTTATGTGCGTGGTGCCAATTGCTCTTAATACAGATTTACCGCACTTGACTCCAGCCTACCAATTGTCAAACCCTGAATACCCAGTGATTTTTTTTACAACGGAGCCCATTGCATAACTGATGGATACTTCAAACTTCTCAGAATTAGATGAGCTGAATTCCTTTTGGTCTAACCAATCCTCCATTTGTTCTTTCAATGGGTGCAAATTTCCCGTCTATAACAGTATTTTCCGATGGATTCACTGGATTTTATAGTTTGCACCGGCAGTGCGCTGTTTTTTGTTACTGACAATAGCCCTTTTAAACTTGATAAATTACGATTTCAAATTTTTTTCTTTGATGGTGGTGTAACAATAATTTAATCATAGATCCATTTTTTTGAAGAAACAAATATTAATATTATTAATAATATGTACCAATTAGAATATTGATGGTTGCGTAACAATAATCCATCGTTTAACCATAGATCTATTTAAACAAACATTAATACAATGTTGTATACAATAAGAATTATTATTATAGTACGTAATATTATTACCTATTACCCATTAATGGTCGCGTAACAACCAACCATTCATCGTTAAACCATAGAAAAAAACGAATATTAATACAATGTTATATATACAATATGAATTATTATTAGTAACAGCATCACCTGTTACCATTAGTAATATATATCAACTAGAGAAGGTATTTTTTTTTTGATGGTCGCGTAACAATTTAGCCGTAGATCTGTTTTTTGAAGAAAACAAATATTAATACAATATTACATATACAATAGAAATTATTATTAATAGTGTATAGTATCATTATCTGTTACCATTAATAAGATTTTGATATTGATGTTAATTTTTTTCCTTTGATGATCGTGTAACGATAGATACATTTTTTTGAAGAAAACAATATTAATACAATGTTAGTAATTTGTATTAATAAATTTCTTTTTAATGAATGAATGAGTAAACCAACAGTTCTAGTTGCATGGCTCAATTCTACATTTTTAAATAATACAAGTTAGTAATAATAATAATAACAGTAACAATAATAATAATATATTAAATAACAACAATACACCAAGACTTTAGAATAATCTAGTGGTTGAGTAATAATAACTGTTATTTTCAATATGTAGTCGCTGGTGTTATTGACTTATTATATTTGAACTTGTATATCTTCAAAAACACCTACCTACCTACCTACCTTTTCAAAGATTATTAATCCAAAAAAAAACATATTTATATGGCATTTTGAATTTTTTTTCTAATACTAAGAAAAAGACGCGTAAACAAAGATTCTATATAATTAAATCAATATCACTGGTCGAAACTTCCTGTCACACTATAAAAACTAGTGATCTTTTTTGCCTTTTCTGCAAGCAATTATTTATCTGTAATGACAAGACCTTGCTTGAGGTGCTTGAGGACTAATCCTAGTATTTAATAAATCTGGGAATTTCGATGATGATTAAAATTAGAATATTTATCCATCCATCCGTCAATTGTTATTTTTTTTTCACTAAAATAATTTGCTATTGTGGATTTTTGATTTTTTCTTTTTTGGAAGCAAAATTGATTAAAATATTAAATTATTATAAGTGTTAATTATTAAAGCAAATATTTTGTCTTTTATGCAATATTATTTTATAACAAGAAATTAGACTCCAGGAACAATTTAAAACTCGAAACTTGTGGTTTTATGATACATAATAAAAGCATGTTTTTTTTTGTTTTTTAAACTTGATTACAAAATGATTACACTATGAAAGTGACAATATGTGAATTCAATATATAAAAAGCGATCATAAAGTCTTGTGATTATTATTGTATAGGAGTGGTGACTGTATATGATGCCAGTATATAAGAATGACACATCCGTGTTTAAATTAATGTTTCATGCATTTTAGTTGTAGATGGATAAAAATAATTTAATTAATCTATTTTGATTAATTATTCGAAAATTGAAAAATAGAATAAAGAATCAATTTTCTCTAAAAAAGAATATACAACATTGAGACATTGTAATTAAATTGCAATGATAAAAAATAATTTAATTGATCTATTTTTAGAAATAAGAATAAAAAATTCAGAATTTTCTTTAAAAGGAATATGCTAGTTAAATAAAATCAATTTCAATTTAAATTATAAATTAAATAAATATAAATCTAATTAAGTTGTAATTACACGGACTCATTCATATTAATTTTCGTAACAATGATTATTAAATTTACCATATTTGTTATTGAAATTCACACGCGTGTTAGACAATCAGGATTTGTAACCAAACTCTAAAATTTTTATTACATCGATAATGTGTAATCAATTCACATATCGTGCCCTATAGTAACGATATTATTATTAAGTATGGCTCCTCAATTAATTATGATTAGTTGCAACTAAGTGTGGCATATAAAAATTGAGTGCAGTTGCAGAATATTAAATTGAATTGTGGCTTCCATCTTTAATTTTATTATTATTATTCAAACCATTGAAATGTATTATATGTTTCTACAACCAGTAAATAATAGGTTATTGGTCATTTATTTTATTGCTTTGGAAATAAAATTTAGTTATTTGTTGTTTTGGAAGCAAAAAAGAAAAAATAGTTATTTATTTTTTGGAAATAAAAGATAGTTTAATTTAAACAAATTTACCATTCATATATATGTCATGTTTATAGCAATGGGTGACATCATTCAAACCATTGAAATGTATTTACATAAAATCAATTAACTATTGTAATTTTTTTTTGGCAACAAATTAATTTATTATCAACAATAAACTTTAATTTTATTTCTGGCACCAATTATTTCGTTATTTCTGCTCGTTTGTGAATTAATTACACAAAATTGAACTACATCGCTGATCGATCAGCTGCTGAAGTTTCAGATTCCTTTGATAAATTATTAATAACATTATTATTTCGAATATTTATTACAAAAAAGATATATAGTTTTTCAAGATATTTGTTCTTTGATATTGAATCAACAACGATTGTTAATACCACTCGCATAATCTTTATTTATAATTATATATATATAATTTACCAAGCAAGATATTTGAATTCTTCTTTGATATTGAATTGAATGTTTGCTTTTTATTAATGTCATGTTATTCGTGTTCAATATCAATGAATCCATTGAAATATATTCTGTGTAACATAAATCACTATTTTTTATCTGAAAATTTAGGAGAGTTATATCAACTATTGCTTTTTATTACCTTGGTGACTAAAAACGTTACTGTTTTTAGATAACAGGCTGCTACCTTATCTATATTTTATTTACAAATAGACCGGGCCAATAGATGAATTTTTATTATGCTTAAAATATCCTTTTTTCTCAAAAAGTTATAAATTAAAGCAACAATCGCACTTTCTAAAATTTGAAAAATCGAAAAAGATTTTTTATTTAATAACAATAATGCTTTATCCAATAGTAGCAATTAATATTAATAATGAATTTTTTGCAATCTCCTTATTATTCTTCTATGCTATTCAAGCACAACTTGTTAATGAAGATTATTTAACGTCCACGTTATTATCATGTTTTGTTAATGCACGACTTGGTGATGATGAAGTTTATCTGTTATTAAATCGTCCCTGTGAACTTTTTTTACCGATCGAAGTGTTGATTTCCCCTAGTACTAGAAACAACAAAAAAAAACAAAAACCACAGAATGTTTATATGTTGTATCGAAGAAATAAAAATAAATCTTTTAAGGAGCGAAAGGACCAAGGAAAGGTTTCGGGTATAACTGGAGAATCTTGGGATGATGAATCGCACGAAGTAAGAAAATACTTTGGAATATTACAGAAACTGGCTGCTGAGAAATTTAAAATGTATCTTCGTAAAATTTCGGGAGATCAACAAACACCAAATGAATTTAATAATAACCATTATTCAATTGCATTACATTATCTGCCTTACACAAAAGACGCGTCGCCTTTTCCTCCTCCATGTTCAACTCCGTATAATGAAGCTACTCAAGTCGATCCTATTACTGAAAATGCAACTCCAGTATTACAAACAAATTTATCGGATAACTTTGAACCTCGTTATGTGATTGATGGTTGTAGCAATATTCCACAAGAATTTTTACAAGTTCAAGAAAATAAATTATTTCAACAAGATATAGAAACGCAACTTGGTTTTGACCTTTACTGTCCGACTTTATCGGAACAAATAAATATGCAACAACAGCAACAGCAACAGCAACAGCAACAGCAACAGTTACAACATATTAACAATAGTTACATCAACAACGGTTACATCAACTATACCAGCAACTTCAATTCCAACTTAAATATCAATCCCAACCTCAATCCCAACGACAACAATCAACCCCAAAATCAAATGCAAAGCCGATCGTGAAGAAAGTTTATAAGTGAATTTGGTTTTTCAAATTTTAAAAAATATTCTTTTTTATTTTTATTTCTCTTTCTTTAAAAAGTATTTTATTAAATCAATTTTTTTAATTTAAATGTTACATTTAATTCTTTGTACAGTACATTCTCTGTAACGAACCTTTGGCTGGGCTAAAAAAGCTCGTTATAGGAAATTTGTACATCATCACGTGGTTATAAATTTTATTTAAAAAAAAAAAAAATTATTATATATATATATAAATATAACCATTTTGCAAAAATAAAATTAGCAAAAAAAAAGTTTACCTAATGTTGATTGTTGATTCAAATCAAATTAATGGTTTAATTTCATTGTTGCTTAGTTGCAACTTTCAGATTATTGGCCAATGAATATTAATATGTTTAATTTTTCTATTGCTAATAAAGCTTCTTTATTTGAAACAGGTGGAGATCATTCAATAATAACTTCTTTATTTTGCTTATTTGGAGTAATCATTAACATTATTTCTTGTTCATCTATTGTATATCTATTTCGTGATCCTTTTCAGTATTATCAATTGTGATGTATTCAGATGCAGATGTAGGACTAGTAGGACATAAATATTAATATTAAAACGCAAAATTACTAAATCAAATTTATCATTAAAACGTCAAATAATATCAATATTAAAAGAAACTAGCCAATCAAATATGGGGACCATCATTTGTCATTTTTCTACATTTACAGTAGTGGTAAAAGTTACAAGCAATGCAAATAGCTAACTTCCACTTTTGCCAAATTACATTGACAGTTATAAATCTCATATTTGTAATAAATAAAACCATCCATCAGTAATTCTCAACTTTTTCACTTCCAACTGCTGGTCCTTTATTATTATAATAATTATTATGTGCTGTATCATTAAATGGTGGACATCCTGCAAATATTTCCCACATTAGCATCCCGATACTATAAATATCTGTTTCTTTTGAGTAATTTTTTCCTCTAAGTAGTTCTGGTGCAATATAAGATACAATTCCATATATTTTATTTGATGACTTTTCATCAACTGGTCCACATAATCCCAAATCTGTGATATAACAAGTACCTCCTTCCAATAATATATTACCACTATGTAAATCACAATGGATTAAATCTTTCTCATGTATATAATATAATGCAGTACATAACCATTTAAAAATTGCAATTCTATCTTTTAATGTTAAATTTAAATGATTTTTTTGCAAATGATCCCTTAAATTTCCTTCTGGTAAATAATTTATAACTATAGCATAATTTCCATTATCTGGGAATTTAGTTATACCATAGCAATTAACAATCATACTTGATTTAATTTTACAATAATTCATTGCCTGTAATTAAATGTAAAATCATTTAGTATTATATAATATAGCATTATTTTTTTTTGTTTTAAATAAAAAATACCAACCTCATCAAAAAACCCTTTTCCTGGATTACTTGAATTATTTAAACTTTTTAATACCACTTGTTGCCTTCCTAAATAACCAAATTCTTTTTTATTTTCATCATAATCAATTATTCTTCCTCTTATCCACCCAGCAGTATAAATTGAACTAAATCCACCTTCAGTTAATTTTGTTACTTTTTCAAATTGCTCAAAAGGTATCCATTCTAAAATATGTTGTGGAAAAGATGATTTCATTTGACATTGTTGAATAAAGTTATCAACTATGTTATTTTCAGAAGTCCAAGTAGTGAAAAGATTCTGTAATTGTAAGCTGATACAACCTTCACAGAACCTGTTAGAGTATCTTATTGATTTACACTTTTTACATTCCTTTGGTTTGCCTAATTTATATATTGCATTATTTAATTCCAATTCATAAATAAACTTTTCTTTACAAAATTCTTTTTCATTTTGAGAAAGCTCCTCGTTTTTCTTAATTAATGAAAAAAAATAAACTTTTGTACTTTCTCTACTAAGATTAACCATTATTGCATTATTATAAATTTCATTACAAATTTTATATACAAATTCTCTTCTTTCTGGTGATATTGATGATAATAATTTATTATGTGACATTTTTTTTTTTTTTTTAAGATACGGGAATTAAATTGGTGCAACGGAAAATCAGGTATTAGTATTGGTATATGTCGAGGTTGGCGCAGCCAACACATACCAAAAAAGGTAAGTGTAATGTCCAATTATAATTAAATTTTACAAAGGATTTTGTTGTTTCACGAAAGTAAAAGCGTTGTATAAAAATACTCAATATTCAATGGTGAATGGTGAATGATGAATGCTGAGTAGCCGAGAATTCATTTTTTAAAAAATGTAATTTTTTGGGAGTGCATTTTTTATGCGTGAGATTAAATTTCAGGGTGTTTGTGCCTGTTGAATGCTTGGATTTCGATTCATCGCCTTTAAAAAAAAGTTTAAAGTCCAACTGTGAGCTGACTATGTAACTATTGCTATTACTCACGTGCTGTAGATTAGATGATCTGCCTTTTGTTAATTATCCAAACAAAGTAAAACCAAGGCTCGAAATTGTACTTTAAAATCCAGTATTATAGAGATTGATTTACATCATGGAATTCACGCAAGAGATTGGTGGTGGTGCTGTATCCAAGTTATATCAAAAGATTAACCTAATTCAACAAGAAGAATATCTGGAGCTGGGGTTTTAGATTTGAATCGAATGAAATTGTTTAAGAGTTGTTATTAAATATTGAATTTAAACTATAATTCAATTCAAATAGAAAACAATATAAACTATTTATTTATGGCTTAAGGAGTTTAACAATGAATTATGTGGTCGTGTATCTACTTTTAATTATACTTAAAAAAAAATTTTTTAAAAAATAGGTTACTAACCTCAATCACAAACTTCTATCCCAACCAAACCAAATTCATCTTTGACTTTGTCAATTCCTAAAAATATGGTAACTAATTGTCTTCTATTATTTTGAATATGCAAATTTATTTTTACAAACTTACTGAATTATTTATCAAAATAAATCCAAACCAAGCAACAACATAGTGTCCAACCATATCAAATACTATGGGTCTTTTAAAATCTATTAATTACTATTGTCTATAATTAAATCACAAATCAACAAATATTTTGTTAATATAATTTAAATAGCATTTTTGATGAATTTTTGAAGAAGAATGGACATCAAAAATTACAAATTGCAATTGATTATTTTTATTAATTATCTATAATTACCATTTTATTTGCAATTTCTGAATAATAAATCAAAATGGTGATGATAATTGTTTGGCATTTAATTTTTAAAACACACTAATGGTTATTCACGAGTAGTATGTGACCAACCATTTGTGTGTTCTCTTATAATATTTTTATTTCTACCAATCATGCGTAGGTGACACAATAACAAAATACATGAAATACAAAATACATTTTTTTTTAAAAATTGTTTTTATGTGCGTGGTACCAACCGCTCTTAAATACAGATTTACCGCACTTTGACTCCAGCCTACCAATTGTCAAACCCTGCATACCCAGTAATTCTCTTTACAACGGAGCTCATTGCGGAACTGATAGATCCTTCAAACTTCTCAGAAATAGATGAACTGAATTCCTTTTGGTCTAACCTCTAATAGACCATCCTCCATTTGCTCTTTCAATGGATCCAAATCTCCCACAACAAATGTTTTCTGTGAATTCACCGGATTTTATAGTTTGCACCAGCAGCGTGCTGTTTTTTGTCACTGGAAATAGCCCTTTTAAATTTGATATATTACGATGTCAAATTTTTTGATGGTCGTGTAACAATAATTTAATCATAGATCTATTTAAACAAGCATGGCGGACATTCGCAAATTGGCAATGATTTTCGTCAATCATATTTTGATTTTATCACGAAATTTGATTGGCCCGATAAATTACACAAAGTTAAAAGGAAGCTTCAACTAAATCGTTGCATGTATTTTTGCTAGCCCAGTATTTAACCAATTATAAAAATATACAAGTTTTTGTCAAATAGATATCAGAAGCAAATTTTTATTCATGTTATCTAATAACCATTAATTTAACAATAATTATAGAACAACCATTATCCACGAAATAGATAAATAGATAGATATATACATATTATACAAAATTATTATCATCCACGAAATAGATATATATTATACAAAATTATTAATTTAACAATAATTTTTTGTTTCTTTCCTATTTATCTAATAGTAAATAATAAATAAATATGTAAATAAAGATATCATACAAAACTATTAATTTAGCAACAATTATAGAACAACCTTGTTTCTTTTGTGTGTCCTATTTATTTATAATTATATATAGAACAGCTCACCTTGTTTCTATTATCCGCATTCATTTATTTATCTAATAATAAGAAACAGATATATATAATACAAAACTATTAATTTAACAATAATGATAGAATGATTACCTTGTTGCCTCCTTCTTTCATTTATTGTTCTAAAATTTCAGTTTTAGTTTCTTTACAAAGCGCGCATTGTTTAGCTTTTGGCATTTTTCACTATTATATTACTGAAGTCAAGGAAGTTTGATCTGGTCTGATCTGACACGGAAAACGTTTTAAAAGATAAAGGATTATATTACTGCAAAGTTTGAACACAGGTTAATTAGTGTTCGTTCATTCACCTTCCAAATGGGGTAATAGTACTTTAAAATCTTCAATTGAAATGTATATTGGTGATCGTGTAACATATGAATGTCCATCATGCTATTTAAACAAACATTAAATACAATATTGTATACAATAAGAATTATTACTATAGCAGTCAGCAGGGCTGAAATAGTACTTTAAAAATCCGGATTTTCCTTTAAAAAATTTTAACTTCCGGAAAAAAAAAGAGTTGCTGGATATTTTTCCTTTTATTTTTTTTTATTTTTTTTTTGTACAGATTTCCTTCCACATAAAAAAATTTTATATTAAATAATGTATACTGTACATATATGTATGTTATTACTTCAATATTTTAGAAAAGTACCATAATTTGTGTCTTTTGAATTTTAAGTTATTAAATTTAAAAATCATCGAAATACCATATTGAAACTTTTATAAGAAAAGCTTTAAGCAAGAACGGCTACCACTAAGATTGTTCCAATTGATAATGGTATATTTCGAGGATACACTGGTTTTGAAGTCACATGGTTAATGGTTTGATAATGATATTTTTGGATAAATTCATCTGGTGGGTACTCTAAACTTTCCATATCTACGATTTACAATTCTTCATGCTTAAATGGTCAACGAGGATCACAGCCATTAAATGTTGGGTTGATTCAACTGGTTCTTCTCTAAATAATATAAGACTGGCTGTGGCAGATTTTTTCCAACAATTCTTCCAATTCGATAAACATGTAGACTCCAGTATGGATCAGTTGCTCAGCATGTATGTCTGCCTTCTAGTTCACCAGGTTTTAATAGGTATCTAACAGTGGTATTTGATCTTCATCTTCCCCAATAGGTCTTTTGGGTTTGATGGATGGTTTAGAGATCACTTCTTTCGACTTCATTTCACTAACAGGTGGCATATCTATTAAACTTGTCTTTGTATTATTCATATAATCAACAATTACTCGGAGAATTTTATTCCACAATCTTGATTGCTCTCCTGCTGGTAATTTTGAATCTATTGCATATTGAATTTTGTATGCCTTTTTTGCCAACTCTCACTTAAATGCCTTAACAATTGCTAGGCTTTCAAAACTGTAAAGGTCAATGACCCAGATAAATACATTATGATGTTCCATTCCTCATACAAAATGTCCAGAGAATTTTCAACCACCATCAGTCATTAACAATTCAACCATTTAAGAGGGTTATCAGGGTCTTCATATATTTCTTTAATTGCATTCCAAACTTCCAGACTATTTTTCGATGTCAATGACCATGCACCTTTAAACTGTGTAGCAACATCTATTACCATTAAAGTATAAAGATATATCTTTCTACCTTCTTGATCATGAACATGAGGTAATAAATCACACTGATGAGCTTTATTAGGAATTTTAATCTTTCCAAATCCTGCTTGAGCTTTGATTTTTTGCAGTTACTGATGAATTTGGTTAACATATTGGTTCTTTAACCACTTTTCAATATCTTGCAGGAAAAAATGATTGTACCCTTCTCTCCAACAAGCCTTTTGTAACTGTTTTATGGTTGTATAAAAACCAGGTACATGATAGTAGATTACTCTAAGAATGATTTTTAATTCCTCATTGGCTCTGATTATAATAGTAGGTACATTCATTTCCATGATTGCAAAATGTTATAATCAATATTATAAACAAGGCTGAATTTTTTGTCATGGATTTCCAAACCAATCCTGCATCTCTATGAAAATAAGTGCGGAAATTCCATACATTTTCCAAAATTCTGTACAAATTCTGTGTTTTGAGATTTTTTGGATATGGAAAATGTATGGAAAATGTAAAGAAAATATTCTGTATGGAAAATGTATGGTTTTGTACTAGAAAATTTTGGGAATTTTCCATTCCAAAAATGTACAATTTTATATGGAAAATTTCCTATTCCAAGAGCATACAGCATTGGTTTATTTAAAAGTCTATATCATCATCATCAATTATACAATAATTTCAGTTTTTCTATTTGGTGGTCTAAAAGATAAAAATCCTACACAATGGCCAATCCCAATTATTTCTATAAATTTAATAGAGCCATAATCTTCAAAATATTTTAGGCCATATTCATCTGTTATGATATCAGTAGTGAAGTGAACTAGTGCTAGCATATGGTCTTTTCTATTATAATTATGAATAATATAATATAAAATTTTCCCAAATTTAATTACTTCTTTTAAATATTGAGGTGCATTTTTTCTTCTAACATTTAAATCAATCACTATACAAAACAACATTTATTTTCATAATACATTTTCTTAAAAGTGTATATAGATTAATAAATGCATAATTGATTAAAAAAATTATGCCTTTTAAGTCTATATAAATTAAATGAAATGAATATATAATTGAGAAAAACTATTTCTTACAAGTCTAAATTAAATGAATACATAATTAAGAAAAGAATATTTCTCATAAGTCCGTAAGAGTTCATAAGGGTGTAAATTAAATGAATACATAATTGAGGAAAAAATTATATGTCTTGTAAGTTCATAAGGAAGTGATTGCGATTTATATAAATTCTTATAATCAGACAATTCTCATTAAATTGGAATTCAAATAAACAGTGTTATAAATTTTTTGTAGCATTTGTAAAATGCCTTTTTTCACTCATAAATTTTTTTTTCTTTTACAACAACTCTCCATTTATCTCTATATTTTTAGTAACTCCTCTTCAATATAATAATAATATATTAATTTTTCAATTCTTCCTTGTTATCTTCCCATTGTGGTTATTTTATTTAACAACTTTTCACACCCAGTAGCTAAATTATCAATTTCTTCATATGGAGCCATCACCTCTTCAATTCTTGAGTGGGTAAAAATAAGTCATTAATGTATTTGTTAAATTCGTCATCAGATTGTGTTAACTTAACCATGATTGTGTTTTGTTATTAATTAAAGATAATTTGATTATAAAAATTTTTTTGTTAAGATTTGGTGAAACTGCTATCCACGTGTTTATTGGTCAGATCATTTACACGACATTTATTTAATAAATTTCCTATTTTACTTCTTCATGCTCTTGCAATTTCTGGCAACAAACGATTTCACGTTTTACTAATTGTATTTCCAGCAACCGAGAATTCCTGTTCTGATGAAACACTAGTTTGCTTGAATTGTAAGATAAGCTACATATCGTTCACAGGAGCGAAGAGGAACACTAGTCTTTTGAGAGATTTGTGTTGGACTTCTGTAGCCTTGTCGCCACAAGTTCTTAACCGCTTCGCGGTTCTCTTTTAAAGAAAAATTTTCCATTTGTTGAAATAATTCAACTATTTCTTTTTCGCACTCAAATCTATTAATAAATGGTTCCACGAATCTACTGCATATTTACCTAACCTCAACCGATCTTCTCTTGTATGACTTTCTTCGGGAGAAAAAGGACCAAAAGAAATTTTAATAAATAGGAATTCACATCTACGTTCGTCTAGATTGTTTATATATGCACTACATCTAGCATCAGGGTTGTCAGTGTAATGACTTTCACTTAAAACAATAGCTATTCATTGCCTAACATCAGGAAATAAATCTTACATAAACCTACGTAGGGTTCAGAATTGGCCAGCATTATGACGATATTTTGGTAATTCTGTTAACATTTCCGCATAATGCTGGTCAGTTTTAAACCCTGCGTAGGTTTACATGAGATTTATTTTCCTGATGAATATCTTCTCGTGCCATATTACTTACAATTGGATATCTTCATCTCTCTCCATTGCAATATAACGGTCCAACTCTGATATTGTAGGTGTTGAAAGGATTGTAATTGTTGATGTCCTTCTTCTAGGAGATTTTATATTGGAAGGTTCCTCCTGGTAAGTATCAAAAATGGTTTTAATATGTCTGCAAGCATTTTGACTTGTTTCTCCTGAGAAGTTAGAGAGCTTGCTCCGTGGGTCTAGAATTGATTAAGTAATTGAAAATTAGCCCATAATATCCCCCCAAAAAAAAAACTTGAAACATTTGGAATTTTAGCAGATATTATGTAATATTTATTGAGCGTTTTTGTTATTGAACAGTTTAAGTTTTTTTTTTTTAATCGAAAAGAATTCCATATTGTAAATCTTCATTATCGTTTTGTTATTATTATTGTTATTATTATTATTATTATTATTATTATTATTATATTATTATTATTATTATTTTGTTATCCCACTGATTATTGACATTTATAAGTTTTGGTCTGGTCATTTCCATCAATAAAATACTAAATATGGCCAACCCCGATTTATAGTATATGAGTTGATTATCTATTAAAACACGAGGTTTGGGTGATTTTCAAAAATATTAAAAATATTACTAATCCCTAATGAATTAATTCAGAACCTGATAATCAAATCATGACAATGACAACAGATGATCTATACTCCAGATGTCAATGTTAACAAAGACACTACTGCACTAAGAAAATCCAAAAAGAATAATAGTATTATAAAAATCGTTAGAAGCAAAATATATTAAGATAAAAGAATTTTATTGTATGTCTACTTGTGAAATGAGACATGCTAAAATTTCCATTGTTGCATGTAAAATTTCCAGATGGACATACAATAACTCATATTTATTATATGCAACAATGAAAAAAAATTACTATTGGCTTTACTAATTTGATATTATATAATAATAATAATGTTTTGTTGCCGTATGCTACATACACAAATTCATACTCTCTTCTTTCTGGTGATAGTCAATATGTGACATAACTTTGAAAACAAAAATAGGTCAATTTTAAATTAACTAATTGGATGGACTTTTATATTAAGGACATTTTATATCTTGGATTAAGTAAGATCTGATTTTATCCCTTATGAAAGCAATTTTTAACCAAAAAGTTTATTAAAACTAAGACAATTTTCATTTAACTATAAGAATTCCCAAATAAAATATTTTTCATCAACTGCTTGAATACCAACAATTAATCTTAAAAGAGCAGCATTTTTTATTTTCGTCACAAGATAAAGGTCATTGGCAAAACTTTCTCATCAAGTGAGAATTGATATGATTGTGCATCTAATTTTTGTTTCAACGAATTCTCACTAATGTTATGTATAGAAGAAAGATGTCCAAATCAATGTTGTGATATGCTAGTTCAATTCCACGACTTCTTACTTCACGTTTCACTTTAGTTGGACAAGTATCCTTAGGAATTCCTTTATAATAAATAGTCCCAACCGTATCTTCTTTTTCTAAATTACTTTATCTCTATCATTTTCTATTATTTCTCATTCTGTTATAACATTGCTATTGATGCTTATGACACCTTCACTTCTGTCAATATTACTATTATTATTCTCCTCGTACACATACATTATCATATCCATCATTATCATATTTATCAACATTGCAATTTCCATCCCATTATTATTTTCAATAAATCAGAATCCATAATATAACACATACTAAAATACGATAGTATGGTGTGTGGACAAAGATGAAAAAAATCGTTGTTTATTTATGTAGTTGTGCGGTAGTGGTAGAATTTGTAGATGATAATGTAGATGATAATAAATTATCAATTTTTCTTGGTAACTACCGACTTCTCTAACCATCGAAAAAATCAGAATCCTTTTTGGTGGTGGTTTCAACATTCGAAAGTTTTTGTATCCACAAATAACCTTGGTATATTATCAACTAAGATGCCATTATAAATATCTTTCTTCATTAAGAATACACTTTTTTGAAAAATGCCGAACTTTCATATGGAGATGTACACACAAATCGGAACAGACGTGGGAAAATAAAAATTTTTGAGCGATAAATCGCACAACAATTAGAGATTTTTATACAAGGTGATGATTTTATATAAGGTATTTTACACCATTTGGAAAAATTGGCCAATGCGCAGTCTTGAAGACCAATTAGGAATTGTTGCTGATTAGCCAACAGAATTGGCCGAGTTGACGAAATGGGTTGAGCTTTTTTATTCTTCACTATTTTTTTTTGTATACTGTTTATCTACCTTTGTTTATAATAAATAAACGTACGACTAGTACTCTGTGTTGTGACGCAATTCGAAAAATTTCTCCTTTAATATAAGCCATAGATAGCTACACGAAATCCTTTTAGATTAAATATTTCAAAAAAAGTTTACAATTTATAATAAATATATAATAATAATAATAATGAATAAAAAACAATTGTTTATTATTATTATTTAATTTGTACACAATGCAGATGATAAAAATAGCTTATTTATATGTAAATTTAGAATGGATGGATTTAAAATACAATTTTGTCAACAATTCAAGTGAATTAACTCAAAATTGCTTTTTTCTCGTTTTTAAAGTTTGAAATGCAGATCTATGTAATTGTGTGTGGTATATGTATATGTATGTGGTAGATACTTACTAAAAACTAAGAATTTTTTTTAGGGAAAAGAGGAAGAAAAAATATTTTTCACGTTCATTTTTTTTATTTTACAATTGACAATAGAAACTTCCATTCCAAAACTAAAAAATCTGTAAAGTAAAAATGAATTATTACCTCATTTAAAAATTCCTTTGTGTATTTTTAATACAACAACAACACTATCTTCATAATGTATTTCTTCGTCGTCTATTCCAACTATCTACTCGAGTAATTTGTATATGGTCGCAAATCCGCCTTCGCCTATTTTTTCGATATTTTTCGACATCACCATAAAGAATTCATCAAAGATAATGATCATTATCATAACTTATTGCTTTTAAGTTCGTGTGCTTTTAATTATTTCATATATAGTTTCATTATCACTAGCCATTCTTCCGTTAATAATCATGTATTATGTACCATATTCTTTGTAAGTTATTATTTTGCCTATCTTGATCAATAATCCTAATGATTATTCATTTGATTTATATTATTTAGAATAGTTTAATATCAATATTTATCAAAATTAATTTTTGTCACATAATAAAAAGGATGGGTGCCATATCTCACAAAAGTCATTTTGTTTTTATTTTTAAACATTATCATTTACAAAAAGGATATAAAGCATCAAGAAATATCTCAATTTGTTGTTTTTATAGCTTTCCACGCCCCAGTGCTGTCTCAAGTGCAAAAAAATATTTCTAATTTCACGATTAAAGCTTCCACGATTGTACTTCATACGGTCAGTAGTGCTATTATCATTTTACTAAAAGTGAATCTGGTATATATTATTGATATATAATTTTTTTTTTCAATTAGTTAGCCTTTTTTTTTGTTTTCACTAATATTAACATTTTTCTACACTTGGACACATATAATAACTTTTGGAAGATGGTCAAGCATTTACGAACACGTTCATTGGATTGGAAATTTTGCCGATGGCCAATCATTTCGTTCATTTTATTGGACTATCTCATCAGTTGATTACACTTTGCAAACACGTTTCATCATCTTCTACATCTGTTTAACAATGGTTTTTATCATATTGTTGATCCTTTTGTTGCTTCTCTATCTTTTTTGGAATTGAAATTAAAATCCCATGCTAATGTGCGCCTTTTAGGCGAATGGGTAAAAGGCCAACACTTTAAATGCTCTTTTGTGTGTGTGTGCGTGTGTATACATAAAGTTATAGTTTTCCATCTAAACAACAAACATAAAAAACCCTATTCTTATAAAGGTTAATTAATTGAATTTTGTTTTATGATAACAAATAGTGTGTGATACAACATATTAATATATGGGGCGTGCTGCAACAAAGTGAACATTGGTATTACCAAAGATTTCAGGGATCAAAATTTAGTCATTTGCAATGTGATTATAATTATCAGTTTTATAATATCCATTTGTGATATATAGAATTATCCCTATATAAAAATAGTTAATATGAACTCATTTACATCAGATCTACCAATAATTATAAAAGTGTTGTATGTGAAATTGAAATTATGTGAAATTGAAATACTATGGAGTGGGGTGAAATTCTGATTGGCTAATTTGAATTTCACACATGTAAATTTGAATTTCACAATGTGAATTGCGAATTCACATAATTTCATTTTCACATACAACAAGTGTTATCAGAAGTATTCTGAAGAAAGAACAAGGTGAAAAAATTGCTCCTTATATTTTTAAAATAAATGATACTCAAACACTTGAAGCTTATCTAAGAAAAGAAAAGATTACTTATGAAATTTATCAAGAAGAAAGAAAAATAATAAATGTTAAGAAAAGAAAGCAAAATGAAAGTGTATTATTATCCAATAAAAAGCAGAAACATTTGGAAGAAAAATAATCTTGTTACAATATTGATTTATTTTTTCCTTTTAATTCTTTTAACAACATAGATCATAGCAATTAAAAAGTTATATGGGCTATTCATAATCAAATAGGATTGTTTTTATATTCATCAGCAACTTTGGCAAAATCTTCATCTTTAAGTCAGAGACAATAATTTTAACATGATAGATACTAGATCCAGTAGTGCTATAGTTACATTTGTAATCAGAAATAATGTAAATCTTATTTTTATCAGTAATAGTGTAGCTGCCTTTTCATTATGTTGGATATCATAATAAGATATCAAAAGCCAGGATATTTTCTTTAACTTTATCTAAAAGACAGTTGGAATGAATTTCATTTATATTAGAGGAAAATACTTCCTCAATATTCTTTAAATTACTTTCTTATTTTCAATCAAGGTCATTTCTTAGTTTCTTTAATTTCAATTTGTGCAGTTAATTGACCATTCTGTTGTAATTGTTCTAACTGGTTCTTTAATTTCTCATTCTCTGTCTCATAAGCATTTAACTTATTGACTAACTCTTGAGGGGTTAAAGTTTTCAATTGTTCAATTTTCTGAGTCAATTTAATAATTTCTGCATCTTGTTGTTTAATCTTATCTAACAACTCTTGTTTTTGCTTCTTGCTCCATTCTTCAGATTTCTCTTGAAATTTGGCTATTTCTTCCCTCTCAATATTTAATTCTTCTTTAGTGGTTGATAACTCTCTTTCTAGTTCTCTAGTTTTGTTTTCTAAACGAGTACTGAAAGCTTGTGAAAGTAATTCTTTATCAGAAAGTGGTTTAGTTGATTTAGCTTTTAAATGACTACAAAGGCACCTATTTCTATTTCTCTTTAACCTACCACATTTCTTGCAACACGGGAGAATATTGTTATCATAATCTTTTTTACATTCATCACAAATAAAAACTATGTCAGCATAACCATCAGGAGTATTACGACCTATCATTTGGTGAGTAGCAGGAGCAGTATCAAGACTGAAATTAGTTGGATCATCAAAATCTAGAAAACAAAAATTACATTCTTGTTCATCTCCTTTTGCTATTTCTAAAACTCTATATTCTAATCTCATATTTACTTCTTTTGAATGATAAAAGTTTGGAATTTTTCCTTACTCTTTTCTTTAACTTTATTTATTAATTTCTTGAGTTTATGTAGCCTATTTTCTTTTTGTTTCTTTGGTAAAGATGGTAATTCTTTGTTTTCTAAATAATTCCTTCAGTCTATTTCTTGATTCTTAGCAGCTAAATTATTCTCCAACAAGTCTATTCGATCCAGAAGTTTTCCCATTGCAGCATTGTGTTTTAGCACTGTTTCAAACATTTGATGCTTTCTCCATTTCATAGCTGTGTTTAGTGCTTTTTCAGCTTCTTCTCGCTCCATCCAAACCTCCTCTTCTAATTCTCCTAACTTTGTTTCTAACTCCTTATTTTTTGGTTCCAGTTCTGCTATTTTCGCTTTGTATTCTTGCTTTTGTTTAAATGCATTAGCAGTTAATTCATTCCAACTATTAATTAACTCATCCAGAGAAAGGTTTCTGATGTCTAAATAAGAATAACAACTTTGACTTATTGGATCACTTTTATAACCTTCTTCTAAGAATTCTTTTAGAGTTAAACTATCTTCTAATTTGCCTTCTCTTAATCATTTCCTAAATAACTCTTTGCTTTCTTCAGAGTTTAATTTGATGAGGTTAAGAATGATGCTTTTTCTAGCATCATTTCTTACTCCATAAAGTTTATTTGTGAGATTGTAGTAATGATTAAACTTATAAGCATTGTAAACTATATCTCTACGAATATTTTCAGTAGGATATCACTTACAAAATGCAGATCAATTTTCTTGGTTGCAATAACACTGCATAATTATATCAAGTGCCTTTACATCCATATCAGATCCGTAACTACTGCTTAGAATACTAATCACTCATTGCCTAATTTGTTCATTGTTCAATGGTTTAAATTCTTTTTCTTTACTTGATAGTTGCTTTTCTAAATCAGCAATGCGATTTGATAGTTCTTTGTTTCTTTCTTGGAGATTTGTTATTATGTTTGTCATGATTTTCTTCTTTTAATATACTTATATCCTTAAGGTATGTTAAGTATATAATTATTTTAGTATTTTTTTACTTTAAAGGTGGCAATATTTGTCAAAAGATTAAATTTATTAAACTTAATGACAGTAAGGAACAAATTAACAAGTGGTGAAGTAACAAAGGTAATTTTATTCTAAACATTTTATTCATTGCCAGTATAGATTGGTCTTGGGCAAGTAATATCTTTGAATTCATCTCTAACAAATGGACAAATATTCTGGTAAAGATATTCTTGCCTTTTGTAATCCAAAGGAGGTGGTGTTAATACTAAAATAGATAAAGCTTTAATTTCTTCAAAAATATCTGTTTTCCTAGTTTTTAATAAATTGAATTTAGCAAA